GTAGCTCCCCCATCATATACCTAGGTGTACTTGTCTAAAAAAAGAAATGTCAGCTGACATTATATTTATTTTTCTGTACCAGATACTGTTACAGGGTATGATACTAGAGAAAAACAGAGTTAAGGAACCTATTAAGGATAGAAATCTGGATGAGTGGGAGAATCCAGCTTTCTCTCTGCTTCTTTCTTATCTCACACCAAATTTGTTGCCAAAGTTGAAGTGGAGAAGTAAAAGCTACATTGCATTGTTACTCTCTAAAGCCTCTACCATTATTCCTATGGTTTCCTCTATTGTCAACAGACATTAATTTCATAAGTTAGAATTACTGGTTCTTCATTGCTTGCTTTCTATGTGCTATCAAATTAACAATGTATGACATAGTACATTATTGATGATATATATATATATATATATATATATATATATATATATATCCTTCTAATTACAAAAGGATCAAAATTATAACATGAATTTCCTCCAAAATACCCGGGTCTTCCTTAGTATCCACACACCTGTAACATCTTGGCAGCCAAGCCCTACAAAGCATTTAATTTTTTCATGGCTTGAAATGTGCTCAGTAAAATCCACAGCTTCTTTCCACACCTCCCACTTTAGAGAACACTGAATTATTTTAGCAGAACCTTCTTATCATGGCCTAGATTTGCTGAATTCTTCCACTCCAATAATAATTCATCACCACATCTCTGTAATAACAGTGAAATGCTAAAATATGAGATGGGCAGCCACATGTTTAAAGACTTGGGTCTCACTGTGTTGCAGCCAACTTTGAATGTGTTCTTGAGATACTCCCTCAAGTTTGTTTTCTATTTTCATTCCACTTTATCTGCTTTATAATATAAATGTGGCTTGGACATTTTTTCTCTGGGACATTCTATTCAAAACCTATAATACTTTAAATCTAAAGTTTTATATTTTGTATATCAATGGGGTTGCTTAAAAAATGACTTTTGGGATTTATGTTATAAGTATCCATGGTAAATGAAGGCCACATGAGAATAGGAAGAAGCAAAGTGCTAGAGAGGCCCACAGAAATCCACAAAGATACCCCCACAACAGACTGCTGGCAATGGTCAAGAGACAGCCCGAACTGACCTACTCTGGTGATGGGATGGCCAAACACCCTAATTGTCGTGCTAGAAACCCCATCCAAAGACTGAGGGATCTGGATGCAGAGATCCATGGCTAGGCCCAGGGTGGAGCTCTGGGAGTCCAGTTAGCGAGAATGAGGAGGGTTTATATGAGTGAGAATTGTTGAGACCAAGGTTGGATAAAGCACAGGGACAAATAGCCAAACGAATGGAAACACATGAACTATGAACCAATGACTGAGGGGTCACCAACTGGATCAGGCCCTCTGAATAGGTGAGACAGTTGATTGGCTTGATCTGTTTGGGAGGCATCCAGGCAGTGGGACTGGGTCCTGTGCTCATTGTATGAGTTGGCTGTTTGAAACCTGGGGCCTATGCAGGATTGCTTGGCTCGGCCTGGGAGGAGGGGACTGGACCTACCTGGACTGAGTCTACCAGGTTGATCTCAGTCCGTGGGGAAGGCTTTGCCCTGGAGGAGGTGGGAATGGGGGGTGGGCTGGGGAGAAGGTGAGGGGAGCGGGAGGGGGGAGAACAAGGGAATCTGTGGCTGATATGTAGAACTGAATTGTATTCAAAATAAAAATAAAAAAATTAATTAAAAAAAGGAAAAAAAAATAAGTATCCAACAATTCATAGCACATATTAGTAATTAGTCTAGGGTATACAACAGCATAATATAAATATGCTTAAGAATAAACTTGAATGATTTCATGATAGAAAGTAAACAGGTACAGGTCAGCTAAAGAATTGCCCATTTACATTCTTTCTAATTTATTTCTCATAATATACTTCTGTTTATCCTTTTTTTCACTCTCTTTAGAAACAGTGTGTGTGTGTGTGTGTGTGTGTGTGTGTGTGTGTGTGTGTGCGTGTGTGCGTGTGTGTGTGTGTGTGTGCACTCACTTACATGCACATGTATTTGTGTGTGCCAGAGGTTAACTTCCAAGTATCTTTCTTCCTCATCCCCTCTCTTATTATTTTGAGAAAGAATCTCTCAGTGATCCTAAGAACTTCCTGTTTCAGCTGGCCTAGCTAGCCAGTGAAGACACCCATCAGGGCCCACCTGTCTCTGCTCTCTGAGCACCAGGGTTACAGATGCATACCACCATGCCTGGCTATTGTGTGGGTTCTGTGGACCTTAAGTCAGATCCTCATGCTTGATAAACATGCTCTTTTCTGCTTGGCCATCTCAGTCCCATCTTTCCCTTTCTCCATCCTCATCATCACTGTGACTTCAGCACATATTGCACCTCGATTGCCAAAACACACCTCATTTTAACCCAAATAAACACCCAAAGCTGTCCCATCTACCTATTGCAGATCCATATAACCTTAGCATTGAATATGTTAAAAACAAATAGCCCTGGAATTGTATGCACTCATATTTCATTACTTAAATTTGAAAAGCAAGTTTACTTTAAGAAAATTTGTGGTTTGAAACATATCTGTTTAATTAAAAGCACACATATACATGTAGTGGGTATTCATTCCACTTATGGCCTTGGGCTGTCCAGGCAGCCAGCTGTCTGTCATTTCTTGTAATTTTTCCGAAGTTGCTTGCTTGCACTTCCTGTTTACTCAGGTATACTATTTCCCTTCTCAGGTCTTTGATGGGGTTAAAGACTTGATGATCGCAGTTACATTCCTCTCATATCTTGGCTAAGAGCATATCAGGTACTAGATTTAGATTCTTCAGGTTAGGACAGCTTTTGGAGTAATCTCTGTAATTTGCCATTTAACTATGATCTGGACATTTAGTTTGTTTCTTGATTGATGCTGTTCTTATTTTTTGTAGTTCCATTTTTGTGTTTATGTATTACCTTTTATTTCTCCTGGACAATACTTGATAATTGTTCTTATTATATATAGTTTTGTATTAGGTTTAGAACTTTCTTATTTAGACAAAAAGGGGAGATGTTTTGGTTATTCATTCCACCTATGGCCTTGGGGTATCAGCCCCGAGGGCATGGCCTCTTGGCTAGTTTAAGATCTGGGGAGAATGTATGCTGGGCCCCTTCTGTCTCATGCTCTTGGATGGTGAAGACCGAGTCAGGTGGTGTAAAGCAGTGTGGGACCAGTTCTCAGTCTTCTAGGGACTCTGCAACTGAATTTGTCTTGCCCTGTATCAGTGAGCTGTTCCCCTATATAACCCATTAACAAATAGTCCTTTTCTCAGTAATCCATGTATTTCCTGCATACATACACATAAACATGAGAGGTGGAAAGTACAGTTAAGTATTGAAATGAGAAGATCAATTTGCAAGTTAAAGCTTACAGGTAGTTATTTATGCCTATAGGAATGTTTTCTTGGTTTAATAACATATGGGAAAATTTGAAGATCATGCATGATATTTTCACAGACTTATTTTTCCTTTGAGGTGTTGTAGCTTATCTTAGGGGAAGGAATATCAGATGTCTATGAAAGCTGATTATATTTTTAAGCTTCAAAACTGTTTTGTTATCCTCAGAAAGCACCACATTTCTCCTATTTCTCTTCAAAGCCTCCTGTATATTTTATTTAAACTATGAATTTCCATGTATTTTCTAAAATGAATCTATTTATCTATTTTTTTCACTTAATTATATAAACTTAGAGTTAAAAAATGCAAGCTGGAGGAGACAAATACTGAAAGCCAGTGATTTAAAAAAAAAACAAGATTAATGGTTGCAATAATATGAAGGATGAAGTATGAAGGAAGAAAGTACAGGCAAATTTGGGCTGATTTCTTCTCTTTTGAGAAATATCAGGACCAAAGAGTGTTAGGATTGGGGTGTTGCTCTAGCTTAGAACCAGACATGGAGCTACTTTTGTAACAAATTATGCAATATAAATTACAAAGAGGTTAAAGGCAATTTGTAAAAACTCTTATTTTATATAACAAGGCATATTTCACATCCTTCCTCCACACAGAATGCTTACCACTCGCAGGGTAAGTGAGCATCTGCTGTGTGTTCTATTTAATGTTCTATGTAGTCTCATTTTTCCAAGGAGACACATCTTAATGAGAATACCTCTTGAGTCATAATCCAAGACAAAAATGAAACACGTAAATTCTTTCCAAATCTGTTTATATGCTGCTTAGACAAGTATATTAAAACCCTGCCATTCACCATTTGCTTAAATTAAATGTCCTTGCTGCCCTTCACATAAAAAAATCCCTGCACTCTGACATTACATAATCTGTGTAAGAAATCCATGCAAACTGTTTATTTATTAGGTAAGTAGAGGTTGAACCTCTGGAAGTATGGCTACAGTTTTAATAAGAATTCACACAGAGTTGGCCAAAACTAAATCATAAATGGTAGTTGTTACTCATTCACGAAGTCTTTCCATTTCAAAGTTGAAAACATTAAGGAGCTTCTAATTGAGAGCTATTGACCATGTGGGGAAGAATGAGAATACTTACATATATTCTTTTAGAATTAAAGGCTCTCACTTCATTGACACTGTGAAAATGCTGATTACCCAAAGTTAAATAATACAGTCCATATTTAACATCACTTGCTATTTCCTTTAATCCATCAAAATAAAAAATTCTTAATCTATACTGGAGTCTCACATTTTAAGCAAAAAATTATTATGTGGTTCAAATTTGCCTCATATCACATGTTTAATTATTTAATAATACTGAATATAGAGGAGCAGCTGTGCAGAACTGTTTTTCTTAAAGAGCAATATCAGAGTTGTTGAAGCCAATATTGTAACATGAAATAATGAAATTTTGCTAAGTCTAGAAAATGTGTATTGTATACAAAATTTCTCTTTGTGTGTATATATATGTATAACATGTATAATATATATAATTCATTATCGAGTTTAAGTTAGTATGTGTTCTTGTGAGTTGTTTGTTATTCAATAGTACTTATATAGAAGTAGCTCATCTTTATTACCTTGTAAATATCCAAAAATCCACATTGGTGGTCAAATCTGGTGTAGAGTTCATTGAGCATGCTGATAACCTGCATGGGAGTACACTGGGCACATATGGCTGTGAAGCCCACAATGTCTGAGAAGAGCATGGTGACATCATCAAACTTTCTGGCTTGCACTTGCTGTCCTTGCCACAACTGTTGGGCTACATCACCAGGGAAAATGGAATACAGTAGATCCACTGTCTTCTTCTTCTCTTCTTCAAGGGCCTGGTGAGTTCTTTCTAAGGTGGCCTTTAATTTATCCATCCTCTTCTTCAAGCCATCCTGGGCCTTTGCTTGCTCTCCAACTAAAATGACATCTCGGGTAGCATCATGAATAGGGATGTCTGAGAGATGTAGTCCTCGGCCCATAAGTTCATCCAACTTGTCCACACATGGAGAGCCCAGAAACAAAATGGCATTTGATTCTGGAACATGAATCATTTGTCCTTTGATTTCCATCACCTATGAAATAGACATGGAATTTTGATCAGTTTTCCTCATAAGCAGGTCAAAAAATTAATATATTACCTAATGACTAAGAGGAACAGAAATGTTTTCTTTTGTTTTGTATGGATTGTTGTTTTCACACTAGCAAATTTTCAACTGATTTAAAGTCAGTATAAATGTCATTGTTCATAATAGAAATAATTGTTTTGTATCTTATTATAAAGATGGTGACAGAATACAAAATGAGGTCAATGAAAAAATGAAATAGGAAAAGATTTTTATTCAAGATGGAAATATTCCCAACTCAAAACCTTCAGCTTAATAATAATAGAATCAGGATAAATTCACATGTCAAAATATCTGTACTTAACTGTCATTAAAATAGCACTCCCTTCAAAAACTAAATCTGGGAGCTTAAGATGAACCATAACAATTATTTGGCTTTACATGCATAATTTTTCAACCAGTTACAGTACTTGGGAAAAGTAGCAGTCATCACAATGACTAAATTAAAAGTAGTGGGCAATTTTGTAAGCTTAGAAAAAAAGAATTTAAACCAGTGATCTGTCATTAAGCCATCATTAGCAGAGAGAAGCATATCCATAAAACAAAACATACCCCATAGATATCAAATTAGAATAGCACTAAAGTCAGTTAAGAAGGTATAGTAAAGGGAAAAGTAAAACAATGCCATCTTTTCCTTTTTTGACTTTTCACAAAAGTCAGGGAATTGACATTTAATGAAAACAAACAAACAAACAAATAAAAAACAAAACAAACCAGAGCCAGGGTTATGATATCTCAGTTTGGGGTGCTACTAAAAACTGGCAGAGTATAGCCACAGGACATGACTTCCATGAGTTGTTTAGGTTAGATCAATACACTTCAGAACAGCTGGATAGAAAGATACCTGCCTGTAAGCACCTAAGATGAAAAAACGACCAAGAGCTGATCAACCCTGAGATTGCCTCTGTCATTCCATGTCATCATCCATTTCCACAGAGAATATGCTCCACACATTTACTCTCCATTATTGTTTATAAAAAGCCATAGGCTATCTTATGAAGCTAGATACCAAGAATAAATACAGGGTAAAACTATTCACCATTTACCACAACCTTGGGGAAGGGAATAAACTGAACTCTGGCTTGATGTTATGAGTTTAAAGAAATGAGTTCTCAATGCTCACTTTATAAAGTCCAGTATTTTACCCTTTCACTCCGTGTTCTCTCACCAGAGGAGATATTGAATGTTTTTATTTACTAATATTGTTCTGAGTGATAAAGATAAAGAAACCAAATAACATTTTCTTTTTCAAATATTTCACAGTATATTGATGAACCCAAATTATATAAGCCAGAAAATTATGTGATGAGAAATCATTCTCAGTTCCACACAAGTGGGTTTTCAGAGGACTGGAGGCCATGTTTGAAATTATTATCTTGTAAAATATTTCTGGGTTGTTTCATACATTCCTAATATGCATTTTGTGGCAAAAGTATTGGTAATGTCATGTATTTTCCTATTGGAGGATAGTAAGGGCAAAAAAGGAAGAAATGCATAGTTTATCCTGTCATAGTTTAAAAATTAGTGTATATTGTGCCTGCTACTGAGACTCTTCTGTTGGATTTTCCAACTTCAATATGGTAGTTTTTCCTTCATCTTATTATATTTTATTTTTTCATGTTTAATTGTTATCTCACAGCAACCAGTTCTTTTCTAATAAAGAAAGGGAATAAATCTGTAGTGGAGGGGGAGGAAGTAGAGGTAGAAAAACTGTAATTGGGATATATTATATGAGAAAAGAATTGATTTGTGGTGATATATTGTGTACCTTAATAAACTTATCTGGGCATCAGAAGATAGAGCCAGCCACTAGATTAGACATAGAGGCCAGACAGTGGTGGCACACACCCTCAATTCTATCACTTGGGAGGCAGAGATCTGTGTGGACCTCTGTGAATTCAAGGCCACACCAGGAACAGAGTCAGGCAGTGGCAGCACATGCCTTTAATCCCAGCATTTGAGATCTCATGCCTTTGCTTGGAAAGCACACATGCCTTTAATCCCAGGAAGTGACATGGCTGGGTAGAGAACAGTAGGTATATAAGGCCTGAGGAGACAGGAACTAAGCAGCAGTTCAACTGAGACCCTCAGGGGTGAGGACTCAGAAGCTTTCAGTCTGAGGAAACAGGATCGACTGAGAAGTTGGAAAGTGAGGTTGGCTGTGGCTTGTTTTGTTTTTCTGATCTTTCAGCTTTCACCCTAATATCTGGCTCCCAGTTTGTTTGTTTCTTAATTAATAAGCCCTTTTAAGATTAATATTATATGAATCTTTAACAAAAGAAAAAAATTAGTACATTGACTACTTACTTAAAATTTAACAAAGGACCAAAAGCTTTCTAAACCTTAAAGAGCTTATAATCTTAAATCGTAGTGGTAAGCTCTGGTGCATCTGGATTTAAACTTCCTCTCCTCTATCTCTCTCATCCTCACTCCTTTCCTTCCACCCTCCTGTTTTCTTCACTGTCTTTCCTGTCTTACTTCTTTCTTTCCTCCCCTTTGATTTTGGATGTATTTGTATTTTATCCTTCTCTTTCCTTTGGTTTTTGTTCTTACTGTCTGTCTCTCCTCACCACATTACTCCACTGCCCATCTGTTCTCCCTATGTTTCTCCTCTTTGTCTTTCCTTTTACTTCCTAGGTATCAATGGCCACATTTTCTGTCATATTTGACATTTTTTTGTTTTGATATTATCCTTTATTTTATGACTTCTCTTTAAAGAGATCAACTGAACACACTGGAATCAATCCATGTGTGTTTCCACAAATAATATTCGTCATTTGATATGTGAGACAAAGTATATAAATAACTTTGTTTAACATACAAAGAAGCTGAGTTGAATAGTTTGTAACTGTGGTGAATCTGGGAAGAAATGACCAAACACATTGTACAAAATTCTCAAAGAACTAATAAATATATATATATATATAAATATTTTTATTTATTTATTTATTAGTGGCTATTTGTTAATTTTTTAAAATCTTGAACTTCTACAGATTTTGAGAGAAAAACATATTCACCATTTATATTAGAAAAAAGTAATTTAAAAACTGAAACAAATAGCTTCCCTTTTAAGTAATTTTTATTGGTGAATTCTTCTCTTATTTAAATAGAAAGCTGGAATATTTGTATCACTGTCATATATTTTTTTCTAGTTGAAAAACAACACAAATTTTTCTTCCTGAATTGTTTTGTTCACTATCAGTTCCTAAACCCAATATTTGCATGTATTAACTAAGCAATGAAAAAATACTCCTCTAGAAACCACATTTTTTTCAGAGAAACCAGAATTGTAGAAAACTGTCCCAAATGTAAGGTTTATTACATACCCAATAATATTAGAATTTTTAAAAGATAATAGCCTAATAAAAATAAGTATTTTCCAACATCTATAAGAATTCAGAAACTAGAAATCATAAAAAGAGATTATTTGATAATAAATTGTAAAACAGGATTGAAAGTCATTGAATTAGAATTCTAGCTCAGTTCAGTCCAGTAATTCATGCTCTCAAACCCTAGTTTTCATTATGCTTGAAAGAGAAATGATGATAATGATTCTGATGAGGATTTAACTAATACATTTTTTGAATACTTGCTTTTTGGTTATGCACAGAATTGAGGAAGCTTGATAGTTGTAGGGAAAGAGAAAGAGAACAATTACAATTTTAAGTGTAAATTATTGTGATGACAAAGAAACTTTAAAGAGATGTCCTCAACAAGCAGTTAAAGGAAGAAAAATTGGTACATACTGATAAAGTAGCTGTTTATTCATCTTATCAAGAAACTTTCTGGATGTGGCTTTGATATTTTTTTTTTCTGAGATATAATTTATGGAAACACACAAAGTTATATGCCCTCTGATTTTCAAGAATTAAAATGGTTTCTGGCCTGGTTTTTTATTTTACAGAGTAATAATAACTTTCAAGAGACTAGATCTTTTGGAAAAAAGAATAGAAGACACAAAGTTTCCAGGCAGAGAAGCTTCTACTCTGTATTAAGGTTCTTGTTCTCACCTCCTAACACTGCCACTATTTTGCATGACTAAGGCCACAAGAAAGGATAAGACTGACAGCAGAGGTACAGGGCCAGCAGCAAGCACCCTTTATACAGGCTGAATGTCCCTCCTCCATATAAAGATACCAAGACACTGCCTGTCAAAATGTGTTCTATATTATCCAGTATCTCTATTATCTAACATCATTACCAAGGACAAGTTAGAACAAAGATGAATGTTATCACCCACTCAGATAAACCTAATAAAAGTAATTCCACACTAAAAATGTTTAAGGTTTAGTAGGATATAGAGTCTTCTAACACAACAGGCAGACTATCCTGAACATAATAGAAAGATAAACATTGATATAAGGATCAGAAAAATTACAACTTGAAGGAAAAAAGACAATCAATTGATGCCAACTATGGTGATATTTTATTTTGTACTAAAATGTTATTTGTATGTTAATAAATAAAGTTGCCCAGGGGTCAGAGCTATTAGCAAGCCATAGGAAAGCCAGGTGGTGGTGGTGCACGTCTTTAATCCCAGAACTTGCTAGGCAGAGCTAGGTAGATCTCTGTGTGTTCAGGGATACAGCCAGCACTGGAGATACACGCCTTTAATCTCAATACCAATAGAGATATTCTCCATAGAAGACCTGGAGGTCTGTACAGACAGGCAGTGATGAGGCGGTCATGTGGTTGGGTTTACAACCAATGAGAAGGCAGAACCAAAAGTCTTTATAAAGACTTTAACACAGGAAGTAGCTCTCTTTCCGAGAGGTAGGACCACCGCAGGAGGAAGGGTAAGGTTTTAGCTCTTAGCTTTGACCTCTTGACTTTCTTCTTTGCATTGGTTCTGTGTTTCTTATTTAATAAGACTATTGGTTACATCTACAGCCAACACTGAATTGAGTCAGATGTGGGAATTACCTATTAATAATTTTAAAGCTAGGAGT